CGATTGAATCGCCGGCGCCCTAAAATCTTGTGCGACTATGACGAGCTTCGTTTGTAGAACCATTCTTCACGCGTGACTGAATATCCCACCGGGAGTTACGCCCAAGGGCTTGGTTCGATCATTAATTACCATTTTGCAGCGGCGGGACAGTTGTGGCCTCAGGCTTTGGGATTCGATTCCTCTAGCAAATGATGCCAACAACGCCGTGCCGCGTCAGATTAGGTAGACAGCGTACCCTTGTTTTCCGAGTCAGTGTTTCGAGTTTTTTGAGCGGCAGAGACTTAAAACGCCACTTTCACCCGCAGACCTCGCCACGGGCAGATGGGACTGTAAACGTTGCTCTTGGGTGTTACCCTCTTTGTCCTACGCGGGATGGTGGAATGGCGGAAGGGGGGCTACATTTGTTCGATTATCAACAGCCCGTACTCCCTTGATTTTTTTGCGATGTCTTGTACCAAATGACGAAAATGACGAAAGTTTTCAGAATCATATATCAGGGTAACACAGCCCACAAACCAGCCCGTGGGTTCGTTGCGACTGCGCCGACGTTGATGCCCAATGTCGCACAAGCTCCTCACGAAGGGGTTTTAGGCGAGATTGGACGGGCAAATGGGGTTAGTCAGGGCGGGCAAGCTCCTGAATTGCCATTGTTAAAATGGGGTGCGGTTGCCCGTGCTAGAAACAGAAGTGAATCTGGAAGCTTTTGTGAGTGAACCGAGACGTTACTGACTCGGGCAACAAGGGTAGACAACGCGCGGCTGCATCAAATCCAGGAGCGCCTTCCTCACAAGCTGCTGCTCACGAGGTCCTACCTTCGGGTTTTCGTCCACACGGCAGATCCGGGTACCCCTCTAGGGAAACCGGGATCCCACGGGTGTACCTATAAAGTCACTCGTCAGACGCCGGGTGGGAACAAAAACAACACTTCAGATCCGGTTGATTTTCGTAGCCTCAAAATAATCGAGTTCAGTTGCTCTGAGAACGAAACACAAATACTCCACTCATGTAAACTCCTTGCTTGGCCCTCTGTCTTCGCACTTGTATGAACCGCCATCCTAACGAAGGATAAGTCTTGTTTTCTGGAGGTGAAAGGGAGAGGGCGGGGCGGGTATGGAGGGAGTTGAGGCGTGGGGGAGGGGGGGAGGGGGCGGGGCGTTTGGAAATGGGAGAGATTTGGGTAGAGGTGGGGGGTATGGGAATTTTATAGCGCTATGAACCGTTTTGGCCAGAGGCTCACCCATCAAATCAGGGTACCTCGCAAAACGAATACAGCACTTCACAGGTGCTGCTAAAATTGAGCCCGTCGGAATCTGGCTCCGTGAAAAACGAACTGCCTGAATCCGGAATCGGACGGGAAATCACCCGATATTTTGTCGAAATCTGGGTAGTTACCCGTAAAATTAAACCACTGCCCACTTTCAACGCCCGAAGGATATGTTTGAACGGTTCGGAATGAATGAGGGAGAAACAGTGCATCATCCAAGCCCAAGTCAAATTTCAGGCGATACAATCGATGCGCAGCCTTATCTTAGCTCAATCTGGCGCCCAGTCAGAATCCGTTCCCAAAACCCCCGATATACGGGCAATGTGAGATCCGTTTGAGTCACTGATGATTGCGTCTGCGACCAGCATATAGCAAGGGACAAGTCGTTGCCGAAGAGGTTTCGTCGCCACGGAACTGTGCAGCACGGTTGCCTGATCGCTTCACAAGAGTCGCACACTGGCAACAAACATCGCCACACAAGCCCCCCCCACAAATACCCACCCATTTCGCCGTGTGCTCGTGCGAAAGCATCATTTGCTTGTGGCAAGGGACAGCGAAATACTTGACCGATTGAATCCCTGGCAACGTAAAATCTTGTGCGAATCTGACGAGCTTAGCTTGTAGGGTGCGCAATGAAACATATCTCCTCCCTTAGGGCTGTTCAGAAATTTTAGGAATTTTGACCGTCGATTGGAAGGTACAGTATCGATGGTCGATACAGACGATGCCCAACCTTATCACAGCTCAACTTGGCGCCCAATCAGAATCGTTTCCCAAAACCCCCGATATACGGGCAATGGGAGATCCATTTGAGTCACTCATGATTGCGTCTGTAACCAACATATAGCAAGGGACAAGTAATTGCCGACGAGGTTTTGTCGCCACGAAAATATGCACTGCCGTCTCCTGATCGCTTTACAAGAGTCGCACATTAGCAACAAACATCGCCATACAAGCTCCCCCCACAAATACCCACCCATTTCGCCGTCTGCTCGTACAAAAGCCTTTTTTACACGTAACGAGGGCATGCGAAATACTTGAGCGATTGAATCCTCGGCACCCTCAAATCTTGTGCGACTCTAACGAGCTTCGTTTGTATCCCTCGATGTGCCTCGGTTCCCTCTACATCCCACTCTGTAAATGCTCTTATATAACTGAACTAATAAATTGTATAGCAAAACAAGTGCTGATTTCCACAAGATTAGGAAAGCAACTACCAATACAAGTCATATGCGATTGGTGCAACGACGACAAGTGCAATATTTTCCATACGTACAGCACCCGTGTGCGCAACCCGGCCAATGAAAATAGTCGCAGTCATAATGTGAAACCTTTTTAGTCATCACTAGAAATGGTGTGTTCCACGGCATTGTGCTCCTGAGTGATCGACGACCACTTCCGAGCGGAATGCGACAGAAATACCAGCAAATCTTACCATTGCGATCCGCCTATTTACGGACTGACGCAGAAACATTACGAGAGCCAATCGATACAAGCCATATGCGATGACGGAATCATATAGATTTCCGTTACGTACACCTCCTCATCGACGCGTTCTGTACTTTCGATATGATGATGGTTTTTATCTTTGTTTACGTTATTTGTTGTTTCCAATTTCATGTGGTTTCAAGTCGGTCTACAGCTGAATCAATTAAAGCCTGACCGGCAGGTTGCAATTCTATTTTTCTCAAGGTGCTGCATCTTTAGGTCCCTGTAACCAAACAGCCAGCGTCAGACTACAAAGAGCTCGCTATGGGTTTAGGCCTAGCAGGGCTAGTAGGATTCTCGAAACTTGGCAGTGATGCACTCTTGCCAAGTATCGAAGGGATGATGGGGACTGGGTAGGTTTGGGGTAGAAACCTTCGTGTTTCTTTTTAACCACAGGCGGGTATACCCGAAAAATGTCTTGTAGCCATTTGTTTTGTACCACGAATTGGCGAGATACGTGTACCTGTTCTCGGCAAAGTATAATAACTGTATATTGTTTATGAACTTTTATGTCCGGATGTTTCTTGACGAAAAAAACCAACTAGCTCAGCCTTGCAAACTTGACAGAGTTGGCGTAGTGGATCGCTACGAAAGGGAGAGGCGCTAAAGTTGAGAGCTCTGCCAAGTTGTGAAGCTGCTTGTTTGCGTGAAACTAAAGCTTGCTTGGTGAAGCCTAACCCTCGCTTGAAGAGTTTGCCTCATATTTATTTCGTTAGCCAATCATAGTTTGCTGCCTCACCTACCTCAACAGTGCCAATATGCAACCTGCCGGTCGGGCTTTAACGACTTGAAGTCAATTTTTGTTTTCTTCTAGCAGAAACGCATCATTCAACGTACGCACCTGAAACACAAAATGAACATGCCATGCTAACACATCGCGGCATGCGTATGTGGACCTTATCGCGGCTAACGATAATGTTCTCACCCCTGCCAGATGCGTATACGACCATGCCCCCGCCCCTTCCAGCTTTGCATGCAACAGCTCTCCTATCTTTTTGGGAATGTTATAAGTAAATTTGCCCGGTGCGTACCTCTCTATGCGCTAAGTGTCTTACTGTATTCCAATATTCATGGAGTTTGCACAACGGGAATACAGCATGTACGTATACAGTTGTTTCGTATTTCGTGGGCATTTCCCTACAAATATACATAGCTCGCGGTAATTTAATACCCAGTGTTTTCACAGGGGGTGCCGCCGAGAGGGTATCCACTCCCTGAAAGCAACTTTTGAAGACCAAATCCGGATACCCTTGAAAAATAAATTTAGTTTGAGCTCCTATACAAAACATTTACGACTCAATTGAGTGTTTCTTGAGTCAGGAAATCCTACGTTAGCTAAGGCAGTGCTAAAAGTTTTTGCCCGGGTGGAGTCTGCTGCGCTTAGGCTGTAGGAACAAGGGAGTGGATGGTCAGGGCGGAATCCGCCCGATTTCAGGCTGTATTTTTAACGCGATCTTAGTGTACTAGTTTCAACACCACCACCTCCATCATTCGGTGGCGGGAAGCAATGATTCGATCCGAAACCTGCAAGGGGTTTGGGCCAGGGCTTCAGATAGGTTTCTTAGCCAGTCGTCAGATCCGGGCTCCCTACTGAAACCACCCGTTAAAGCCCGTTTCAAATCCAAATCATACCTGTCAGGGTCCATTTTCAGGCCAAAATCCGCGAAAACATAGGCTTACAACTCGTTTTTGAGCCGAAATCCATCCGTGAACCACCGGCTTCGGTGAGAATCGAATCCGTAAAAAAGGGAGTTCCATCCGAAATCCACCCGTAAAGTACCAAAGTCTGGATAATTAGCCGTCAAACATAGGCCCTGTCTTGGGCAAGAGGTGCAGCAGCGCGGACCAAATGCCTGCTCCAATTGCTGCCTTGGGGGATCCTGGAGCTGAGCTGAACCAGAAGCGCCACGCAACGCAACACGCGAGCGAGCCTTTCCTTTCACTTGTGCGGCTCTGCAGGGAGCAACCAGCAACAAGGGACCGAAATGCAAATCTTTCCGGAAATTGTGCTTGTCGAAACAGTGCAGCGAGCGATGACACGAGTGTGGGTGGGCTTGGTTTGTTGGGCAGGTTCATTCAATCGAACCGTTTTGTCAATGTCGCCGAGAATGTGCGACGTGGCAACTTCGCCAACAGCGTTTGAAACGGAAGTCTGCCCTGCGCGAAGCAGAAAAGGCACAGAAAACTGCCCAGCCACCGACTACCCTTCAAAAGCCAAACGGGAGGGTCGCTTCGGGCGATGTGAAACTCGAAGGTGGGGTACTCGAACGAAGAGAGTCCCTTCCTGCCTTGTGTCCCTACCTTATCATCCCTGCTCTTCACCTTCTTGTTTCGGACAAGCGAGCACTTCTGACTCTCAAGCGTTCGCCTTTTTGCAATAGTAGATTTAAGACGCGTCCGTCATTCCACCTGGAGACGCTACTAATAAGCATGGTCAGAGGCATGGGCCGCAGCGTACGGGGTTCTGAAGTCCGGTCGCGGTCAGAAGCTGATCCTCTTCGAAAGCACGGAAATGGAACTGAAGGTGCTAGCGCTGACACCGAACAACGTTTTCAGCGGGTCAGCTGTACAGCAGGATTGCTTTTGCCGTTCATTTTCTCCCGCCGGAAAAGTAACCCTAGGACAGGTAGTATCAAGGGTGAGAGAGTACTTACCGCCGCTGGAGATTGCTACAGACGCCCGAGGAACGATGAGTTGGGGTTACTAGGCGGCCATAGTTCCGGAGGAGAAACTATAGCTGTTCCGGCGACCAAAGAGAACCCGACGCCGAAGGAATGTGAAGAGATGCTCGTCTCTCCTCGGCAAGCGGAAGGCGTTCAACCGACGGCAGCCGCAGCCGAGAGCCGCGGTGCGAAAGCCGCGGCGTCATGGCATGCCGCGTTTGCGCGGCGTCGAGCAACTGTGGAGGGCCGCGCTGGCGTCAATCCTCGCCGACGCAGCGACAGTTTCAAGGGCAGCAGCATCACCGGGGCAGGCAGTAGCTGCGGCGGGAGTAGTTTCGGGAGCAGCGGGTGGGGCAGCAGCAGCATGAGTCGCAGCAGCAGCATGAGTCGCAGCAGCAGCGGCAGCCTGGCTCGGTCCGACAGCACGGGGTTCGGGCCGTCTCGGTTCGTGCTGCGGCAGCGGTACGAGGACATCGGGCTGCGGTACCTGGTGCACAAGGAGCAGCTGGGAACCGGCGAGTACGGCGCCGTCCGGCCGTGCGTCGAAGCCGACTCTGGGCGCCTGCTCGCGTGCAAGACCATCCGCAAGCAACAGATCACGGTACTACGACCCGCCTTCCCTCACACAACTTGTCGTATTCCCTGGATTCTACCCTCCATCGTGACTTGTCTCCCAGTTCCCTGTCCATCCTGTCGTAAGCAAATCCTCACCGTCTCGCTCGGCCTGTGTGTTGTGCAGAAGCACGAGGACGCCGAAGCCATCCGAACGGAAGTGGCGTGTCTGTGGGAGGTGAGGGGCCACCCGGGCATAATCACGATGCACGACGCACTGGAGGACGGCAAGCGCGTGCACCTCGTCATGGAGCTCTGCGAGGGGGGCGACCTGTTCAGGCGAGTGAACCAGCGTGGGGCGTTGAGTGAGCGCAGCGCCGCCAGGGTGTGCAAAGCGCTGGCGCTGGCGGTGTTGCACTGCCACCGGCATGGGATCATGCACCGCGACATCAAGCCCAAGAACGTGCTGCTCCTAGACGACTCGGACGAGCCCCACATCAAACTCAGCGACTTCGGTGTGGCCACTTTCTTTGAGGATGGAGACTTGTTGACTGAGTTCGCCGGCACAACACAGTACATAGCGCCTGAGGTGTGGAAGGGGCAATATGGGCGTGAAGCTGATATCTGGGGACTTGGAGCGCTCCTGTATTTCTGTATAGCAGGCGTGTCGCCTTATCGGGCCCCAACAAAGCAGCAGGTAGCAGAAGCGGTGCTAACACAAGGGGTGGACTTCAGCCTGCCGTGTTGGAGAAGAGTCACTCCGGAATGTATAGATCTGATTGCTAGCATGCTCAACAAGGACCCTTACGGCCGGATCACACTGGTTGAGGTTCTGCAACATCCATGGGTTAGGAGGAGACATGCCAATGCATGACCATATGAAATTGATAAGTGTTCAGTGTATAGTGCATCATTATTATTGAGTGTTCCCAGCTTCACCATTCCCCAGTCTCTGCTGACACCTTGAGATTGTCTTCCCTCCTCTAGCCAGCCCATCTAAGCACAACCAACCCAAGGGGTGTCACGTACGTCCACAGAGACGGACCGTTCTAAAGTTTATTCCACCTTTATAGAACACAAAGTATCTTACTCAACCGCAATCCAACGTGCAATAGAGACAATACCTAAGTTCCGCTAGCCACCCAGCTGCCACACGAAGCTAGCAATGGAGGGACGAAGTCACTAATTAGTTTCCGCATCCTAATCGCCTCGCCTGTCCTTTCCCAGCGCGGGTCCTTGCAACAGCAACTCTTCACAGCAACACACACCTAAAGTTGTCACCTAAAGTTTCCTGCTGTCTGTCCGCGCGATGTCACACAGCAATAGTCTGTCCGTACACACTGCGTATGAAACTATGAGCTATAGTCCACAGTTTCCTGCTGCTACACCAGCTCATCTTCCGGTGTGCATGGCCCTCAAGAGGTAGTCGCGTGGGTGATGCGCGTCATCAGCTAGCTGTGCGCAGCGAGCCTGTCGTCATGGCGGCACCCCACCGCTCGACTCCGTGCAGCCGCCTGTCTCGCTCGCTGACGCGCGGCGACCTCTATTCCGCAGACGATGACGCTCAGGTGGACAACAGCCGGCCGTTAACGGCGTCGTCTGCCACGCGAGATCCCCTGGAAGGCGGTCGGTGCTCGGAGCCCGGTCGTCACGATGACGTGTCGGACTCCGTGAGTGCTTCGCGGGACGTGTCGCGTTCATTCGCCGCCACGTCACGCATTCCAGCAAGTGTCCAGCCATCGCTTAGGTTGTCAGCATCGCACAATGGATCGCAAGAACCGTCGGCGACGGCGTCGCAGTCGAGCGAGCGGCATTTGCAGTCGCAAGTGCGTGCGGCGGAGGAGTCTCGGGAGCTGCAGCAGCTGTGGGGTTCGCTCGCCGCCGACGCGTCCGACAGAGCTTGGGATTCGGTGGATAATGCGGAGCCGTCCAACGCGGAAGCCGCACGGACACGGCGGGAAGTGCGAGTGCGGATGGACGCGGAGAAGGCTGACGACGGCGACGACGATCTCGGGTCGTGCCGGTCGGACCGATCGAGCGCGAGCTGGTCGAGGCGGCAGAGCCCGCGCGGCAGGCGAAGCATGCGCGCGAGGGGGCAGCTGAAGTGGGGCGAGCACCTGTGGCGCGCGAGGTCGGTGCCGGAGAGAATGACGCGCACGTTCACGCTCAAGGACTACATCGCGCAGCCCATGCCCGCGCATGCGCTCGGGGCGCCCTCCGACCCGCCCACGGACCGCGAGGCGGCGGAGGCGCGGGCGTTGGACGTGCAGGTGCAGGTGTTCCGGCGCGTGCTGCGCGTGATGCGCGCGGTGCGCATCCCCGTGGTGCACCCGTACTCGCAGTTCCGCCGCGACGTCAACCTCCTCATCGCGCTCTGCATCACCTACAACGTCGTGAGTCCACCGCCCGCCACCCAGTCCTTCAGGCGAGGCGGGCACAGGCTGGGTTTCGTGAAAGAGTGCTTGGCAGGATGCCCGTGGGGGGAGGTGCTGTGAGCCGCTGTCAGCGCTTGCCCTCTTCCCCTTCCTCTCCGCTCCGCCGCTCCGCCGCTCCCCACCCCCACCCCCACAACCCCCCCTCCATGCCCCCTCCCCCTGTGCGAGGGTGGTTGCAGTGGGAGGTGTTTTTCCAGGTGGCGTTCAACCTGCGCGCGCAGGGCGCGTGGCAGATCGTGGACGCGTGCCTCTCCGCCATCTTCCTCACCGACGTCTTCCTCGGCTTCAAGACGGGGTGAGACAGGGGTGAGAGGGGGGGTTGCAGCTCTCTCGGGTGGGGGGGGGGCGGGTGAGAGGGGGGTTGCAGCTCTCCTCGGGTGAGAGGGGGGGTTGCAGCTCTCCTCGGGTGAGAGGGGGGGTTGCAGCTCTCCTCGGGTGAGAGGGGGGGTTGCAGCTCTCCTCGGGTGAGAGGGGGGGTTGCAGCTCTCCTCGGGTGAGAGGGGGGGTTGCAGCTCTCCTCGGGTGAGAGGGGGGGTTGCAGCTCTCCTCGGGTGAGAGGGGGGGTTGCAGCTCTCCTCGGGTGAGAGGGGGGGTTGCAGCTCTCCTCGGGTGAGAGGGGGGGTTGCAGCTCTCCTCGGGTGAGAGGGGGGGTTGCAGCTCTCCTCGGGTGAGAGGGGGGGTTGCAGCTCTCCTCGGGTGAGAGGGGGGGTTGCAGCTCTCCTCGGGTGAGAGGGGGGGTTGCAGCTCTCCTCGGGTGAGAGGGGGGGTTGCAGCTCTCCTTGGGTGAGAGGGGGGGTTGCCAGCTCTCCTCGGGTGAGAGGGGGGGTTGCAGCTCTCCTCGGGTGAGAGGGGGGTTGCAGCTCTCCTCGGGTGAGAGGGGGGGTTGCAGCTCTCCTCGGGTGAGAGGGGGGGTTGCAGCTCTCCTCGGGTGAGAGGGGGGGTTGCAGCTCTCCTCGGGTGAGAGGGGGGGTTGCAGCTCTCCTCGGGTGAGAGGGGGGTTGCAGCTCTCCTCGGGTGAGAGGGGGGGTTGCAGCTCTCCTCGGGTGAGAGGGGGGGTTGCAGCTCTCCTCGGGTGAGAGGGGGGTTTGCAGCTCTCCTCGGGTGAGAGGGGGGGTTGCAGCTCTCCTCGGGTGAGGGGGGGTGCAGCTCTCCTCGGGTGAGAGGGGGGGTGCCAGCTCTCCTCGGGTGAGAGGGGGGGTTGCAGCTCTCCTCGGGTGAGAGAGGGGGTTGCAGCTCTCCTCGGGTGAGAGAGGGGGTTGCAGCTCTCCTGTCACCTTTGCCTCCGCTGTGTGACGCATGCTGTCGATTGCTGATGCCCATGTGTCATGTGACATTGGCTGTTCTGCCCCGTTGCCACGTCCCCCGCGTGCCACATGGGCTGCATGGCTGGGTGGCAGGTACGTGACGCGTGAGAAGCACATGGTGATGGACGACGGCATGAAGGTGCTCAGGCCGCAGCAGATCGTCATGGACCAGGTATGGACCAGGTATGGGCCAGGTATGGGCCAGGTATGGACCAGGTATGGACCAGTCCGATGGAACACCAGTTAGGTGCCAGGTTGTCAATACGTGGCAGCAACTATGTAGCGACACCTGTGAAAGTTAGTTTTTGTAGAGTGCTTGTAAGACTCATGAATAAAATTTTGGCGGTAACCGGTTTCGGCTCGAAGCCTTCGTCAGACCACAGAGTCCTAATGAGAACAAACACTACTTATATGCCTAGATGATGTCGCCCAGGATTCATCTCGCGCGGGGAAACCGTCGCGGAGAAAGTGGGGACGCAACAAAAACGTAATAAGAGCAAACAGTAAAAAACTACTGTATTCTAGCACTTATGAGCAGAAACAAAAAAGTTCCCAATTCTTTTTGGCAGCCTCCATGCGATAATAGCTCTCCTTGAAGCGAAGGTGTTGTGTGACATTGTAACGAGGTGACTTTTGAGTCGACTCAAAAGGTATGGACCAGGTATGGACCAGGTATGGACCAGGTATGGCCCAGGTATGGGCCAGGTATGGGCCAGGTATGGACCAGGTATGGACCAGGTATGGGCCAGGTATGGACCAGGTATGGGCCAGGTATGGACCAGGTATGGACCAGTCCGATGGAACACCAGTTAGGTGCCAGGTTGTCAATACGTGGCAGCAACTATGTAGCGACACCTGTGAAAGTTAGTTTTTGTAGAGTGCTTGTAAGACTCATGAATAAAATTTTGGCGGTAACCGGTTTCGGCTCGAAGCCTTCGTCAGACCACAGAGTCCTAATGAGAACAAACACTACTTATATGCCTAGATGATGTCGCCCAGGATTCATCTCGCGCGGGGAAACCGTCGCGGAGAAAGTGGGGACGCAACAAAAACGTAATAAGAGCAAACAGTAAAAAACTACTGTATTCTAGCACTTATGAGCAGAAACAAAAAAGTTCCCAATTCTTTTTGGCAGCCTCCATGCGATAATAGCTCTCCTTGAAGCGAAGGTGTTGTGTGACATTGTAACGAGGTGACTTTTGAGTCGACTCAAAAGGTATGGACCAGGTATGGACCAGGTATGGACCAGGTATGGCCCAGGTATGGGCCAGGTATGGACCAGGTATGGACCAGGTATGGACCAGGTATGGACCAGGTATGGCCCAGGTATGGGCCAGGTATGGGCCAGGTATGGACCAGGTATGGACCAGGTATGGGCCAGGTATGGACCAGGTATGGGCCAGGTATGGACCAGGTATGGACCAGGTATGGACCAGGTATGGGCCAGGTATGGGCCAGGTATGGGCCAGGTATGGGCCAGGTATGGGCCAGGTATGGATCAGGTATGGACCAGGTATGGACCAGGTATGGACCAGGTATGGGCCAGGTATGGACCAGGTATGGACCAGGTATGGACCAGGTATGGACCAGGTATGGGCCAGGTATGGACCAGGTATGGGCCAGGTATGGACCAGGTACGGACCAGGTATGGACCAGGTATGGGCCAGGTATGGACCAGGTATGGATCAGGTGGACCAGGTATGGACCAGGTATGGACCAGGTGGACCAGGTATGGACCAGGTATAAACCAGGTATGTATGGACCAGGTATGGACCAGGTATGGACCAGGTATGGACCAGGTATGGACCAGGTATAAACCAGGTATGTATGGACCAGGTATGGACCAGGTATGGGCCACGTATGGGCCAGGTATAGACCAGGTATGGACCAGGTATGGACCAGGTATGGACCAGGTATGGACCAGGTATGGGCCAGGTATGGACCAGGTATGGGCCAGGTATGGACCAGGTATGGATCAGGTATGGACCAGGTATGGACCAGGTATGGACCAGGTATAAACCAGGTATGTATGGACCAGGTATGGACCAGGTATGGGCCACGTATGGGCCAGGTATGGACCAGGTATGGACCAGGTATGGACCAGGTATGGGCCAGGTATGGACCAGGTATGGGCCAGGTATGGACCAGGTATGGACCAGGTATGGGCCAGGTATGGGCCAGGTATGGACCAGGTATGGG